ACCCTCTTCTCTCGTATCAGACCCGCAGGATAAACGCTGGCCAAAACTGCAGCAACGCGGCCAAGTAACATACACCACCATCGCAAGTCTTCTGGCACGAGCTGCAGCATTCGGCGGTAGAAGTCCTGCTCTGTTGGACTAATAGAGCCGTAGCCACCGTAGCGCTCGCAAAGGAAGATGGCAAGTATTGCGCGGTCTTCATGTGTCAAACCATGTGCAGAAGAGAACAAACCGGTCGTTGTACTTCGGAGCGCACCTCCAGCTTGGAGGTCCTTGACTTGCCCCATGTGTGCAAACATAGCACGCCCAAAAGCTCTCTGCATCTCGTAGTTGAACAGTTCTTGACGAGACGCTGTTGGCGGAGGGGCACTGACTTCCTGCAACATCGCCATAAACTCCCCGCTCGATGGCTTAGCGTATCTCATCGTAGTTTCGAACAACGGACTGGGCGTGAGCCACATCTCTGAGAAGTACATGCCTTCCCTTACACCGCCTTGGCAGAAATACACATCTTTGATGCTCGGCAGTGCTTTGGACAAGCAGTTTACCAGGAAAGCAACTGCAGGAACCTGAGTTGCTCTGCGGGCCGAGACCCGAAAGATGTCGGGTGTATCCTCTCGTTGCACCGCTGCTTGTACAGCCTGGGTGTTGTGAAACGCGTCCTTGGTCGTCCGGAACCCATTGATGATGGGTATGGGATATGGCTGAATCGCATGCTCCGACATGAGTACAAAACCCCAGCCTCGGAAGCCGCCTCCAGACAGGTAAAGCGAGAGACCTTCGGGTGACTGTGAGCGATCAAGCAACTGCTGTGGTACCTCTATGTATTGTACCGCAGCTTTAAGGTCCGCAATGACTTGGTTTTCGAATGTCCGGAATGCATCGCTGTCAGGAGAGCCTGCTTCTTCCAGCCTCTTCGCGAGGGCAGCCGCGCCGTATGGTAGGCTTGCACTTCCTTTCTCGCATGTGTCAATTTGGCCGCGCTGTGACGGAATCATCCAATTGATCTGTGTAGAACCTCCACCAAGGTCCATCATGAGTCCAATCGGGTTATGATAGGAGCTCGCTACCCCGAAAGCTCCAACCCGGCCTTCCGTTTCCTTCGACAAGAGTTGTACAGCCCAGCCAGTAGCATCCTTGATCTTGCTTTGGAAGTCTTCAGAGTTGCTGGCTTTCCGAGTAGCTTCAGTAGCTACAATCTGAATCTGCTTCTCGGGTACTCCAAAGTCTTCACAGGTATCCTTGAAACGCAATAGTGACTTGACCACTTGTTTGATGGTCGGTTCTGGTATCGGCACCACTTGGCCATTTTCGTACTGCGCATCGTAGAGCGAAATGGCTGCCCGATCCAGGTACACAGTCGGCAACAGCCTACTCGTCGCGGGCGCCAGGTCGGTGATGGAAAAGCGGATCCCGTTGCTCCCCATGTCAACCAACCCATGGAGGTGTCTTGACTCGTCTGTCGTGACCATTTTGGTAGTGCAGGTTCCCCGGATTTGCGATTGGTGCCCCAGATGTCAGCCAAGAGGCAAGCGGAAGAAACGGTGCGAACCGTAGAATTTTGATGGCGTGATTAACGCGGTTCCAGTTCGAGACTTAGTTTCTCTTACCCCCAGGAAACTCCTTAGCGGCGCTGTTGTGTCCCGCCTTATGCAAGAGTGATATTGATTACCCCCAGCTTTCTGAAGGTGGTTTCTATTACCCCCAGATTACTTGAGAGGTTGTTACAGCAGTGTCTTGTGATGTGAAGTATTTTCTGGGCTGACTTTCTGTGTTCGCGATGACGTTGCGGGGGTCCCCACTACCTGTATCGAGGAAGATTATTACGCTAGCATTCGTGACCAATCATGCGAGGGTAGGACAGAGACTTTGGCAGGAACGTTCTATGACCGCGGCCGCGACGACGGCAGAAGGCGCTGTGGAGATCCAGGTTGCGGTATCGGTCTTCTCACCTAAGCGCCGAGCAGTGGTTGAAGGTATCGCTTCTGCTGTTAGTTAGATTCCGTCAATTCTGGGAGGAAATAGTCAATCGACGCCGAACCAAAATCAACAACAATCTGGTAAGCCATAGACTCAGCCGAGTAAGTAGTACTGGAACACCCAGATGTATCATGGAAGATATAGAATTGACTGCCTGTTGCGCACTGGAGAAGGGCGTGAGAGATATCAAAGGGCGCTGTGAGGGCTGAAATACGGCAATCGGCATCTTCAAGGTCGGAAGCGAATCATGCTTTGTATGGCCATCTCTTCCGCATCCAGTGCCCGATCAAGTCGACTTCGCGGGTGGCTGAGCAGACCGCGACGGCCGGAGCATGCGATAGCAGTCGACGAGGAACTGCCGTTCGAAGAAAAGAACGTGCAATACGTAAACACCACCCACTGCACCCATGCTGATCAACTCCCCAAGCACCCCAAGCCGTCCAAGAAAGCTGATTGCAGGCTTCGTTCGCATCAGGGTAGGTATAACAGCCGCCGGTGCCACGGCAGCAAGTGAGGGCAACGTCTCGAGTACATTGAACTCGGAGCCGTTCTTCGCGAAGAACCGCCTAATGAACCAGGTATTCCAGACGATGCGCAAGCCCATGTTGACCGTGTTTGCGAGAACCACACCGTTGCCTCCCATTTCGAGCTGCCCGATGAAGAACCATGCACTACCTGCGAAGAGCGCAAAGAAGATGCCCATGGAAATGGACTGTGCGTACAGCTCTTTGTTGGATGCCACTGCGGCTACAAAAGCCTCCGTGACTCCGTTGATAGCGAGAAAGGGTATGTAGTAGCAGTACGTGGAGAGTACCTGCGAAGCAGAGGTTGCGGACCATTTTTGCCCGGCAACGATAGAGAGAAGTACTGGGGCTAGTACAGGTCCTAGTGTAACCGCGAATAATGAGATGATTCCGTAGAGTCGAAGTATGGTACTCAATACACTAGAAGCTTGAGCAAGGTTTTGCTTTTGTTCGTCCGACTTCTTTAGATCCTTCTTCTCCGTTGCTGACGTCTCTACGTTGGCGCATAGTTTGGCGAACATGTTGCGACTACTCTCTTCAATGGGCTGGAAAAGCATGCGTGCAATGAGACCTCCATAGTTTGAAGCAAGCGCATAAGCGCCTTGATCTGCGAGAGATGCCAGTGTTGTAATGAGCAGAGAGTCTCCCTGGGTGAGAACGTACTTCAACGCCGACTGCAGACTAAGAGATGCAGTCAGCTGCAGGAGAGGAGCCGAGAAGTAACTTAGCAATGTCGGGTTCTCTTGAGTCGATGGCACTCTTTCTGGGAACAGCGAGAAGCTATCAGTCTTTGCAACAGGCCACGTTTTGAACGAGTACACAACAAGCAAAGCCAATGCATACGCCAGTTGCCCGATAGCGAATGGTAAGACCCCAATGTCCAGGCCAGCTCGACTAGCCAAGATAGCTGAGCCACAAGTACCAACGCAGCGCAGCAAAGTAGCTGAACTCTCGGCCGACGCTCGAACCTTGTAAAGTAGCTTCTGCTGCACAGCAGAGAACGCCGGCTCGCTCAGCAGTTCCAAGAAAGTAGCCAGGCAATACACAACCAGGGCCTCCATAAAGTACGGAACGTTTGGCGTATCGGAACGCATCCATAGTAGCGCGAGAAGATACGCCAGAGGCGTGCCGAAAAAGACAGCGAGATACGAAAGGTTGACGACAGCCTGCGTCCCATGAGCCTGACGCTGCAGCGCCACACGCAAACTCTCGCGGGCAAAATACAACACAGAGATGGAAAACAGCTCCAGCTGCGCCGACACGCCCAACAGCTCTGGTGAAAGGAACCTCAACAGAACCTGATTGACAGCAAACGTCAGCGCCCGCGAAGCCACCTGCAGGAGGATGAGAAAGGTGGCTCCCTTCGCGGAAGCGGAAAGTATTGAATTCGACATGGTAAAGGCTGGATCTGACCGGAAACGACGAAGAAGCTTTGGAAATGATGTAAGGCGCTCTTCAGGACGCCATCTTGATTGGTTGTGTGGTTGTATGCGGTGTGTTTGAACAGCTGGAGTTTTGGAGATGGGCGTTACATGTCTGTAAAGGGAATAGCTCTTGACGCGTGCTGCAAGGCACAAGCGCAGGCCCGCGGGCGACAGCGACAGCGACAGCTTGATGACATGACACACGACACAATGTGAGTCTTAATCAGCGCACAGTACAGCCGGCAATGGCTCGATATTACTTTCTCGTTCCGCACGCTCGCGACGATGGTGGTGGTTGACCCGCAGATATTCGCGAGGACCCAACGCCTGCTGCTGCGGCCGTTGCGCCTCGAAGATGCAGAGGACGTATTGCTGATGCGGAAGCATCCGGAAGTTATGAAACATACGTCTCTTCTACCTTCAGATGACCTCGAAGGCACGAAAGCATGGATTCAAGGTGTAAGCCTCCTACCCTATGTAATTGATCTGGACGTATGCTAACCGTCTGCAGTGTCACCAGGTTGAAGGCAACTGGAACTTTGCAATCGTCCTCCTAGCGCCACACGAAGGCCCGCACGTCATCGGCTTGATAGGGGCAGTCCGCGCCCCAGAGATTGGCTACATGTTCAACGCCGAATACTGGGGACGAGGGTACGCTACAGAAGCATTGGAGGCGTTCATGCCCTTGTTCTTCGAGCATTACTCGGGCCGTGATATCGCGGACTATGTGTCGGAAGACTACGGACAAGGCACATACAATGGCAAGGCGAACAACGGACTGATAGAGGGAGATTGGAGGAACAACAGGAGCAGGCTGGCACCAAGGTACGACTTCGCGGAGGCACATACAGATACCGAGCTGGCAGCTAGTCAGAATGTCTTGACAAAGGTTGGCTTCAAGCTACATGAGAAGAGGGAGAACGACTTTGACAATCCTGTTCTGGGCATGAGGTCGACTTATATCTACAGGATGTATAGAGCTGCCGCTGAAGCAAAGCCTCCTAGGTAGACCCGGAAGGGCTGAAAATCTAGGCAAGCTGCCTACGCGCATACCGCGTGTTCGTCTGTGGCATCACCAAGGCACTTTGACTCTTGTGTGCTCCCACCCATCTCCCGTCTTATCTCGAAACCGTTCTGCAACCTCAAAGGCTGTAGTTTCTGATTCTTTGATGCCCTTTCTTTTCTTGGTATGTTCCATATCACTGTCACTGGATTCGTCGTTGCTGGACGGAGTCACAATGTTTCCCAGCATCTTTCGCAGCCTTGGATCATCTTCGATCTCGGGACCAGCATCGCTATGCTCTCTTTCTGCGATCTCGGGATCGTCAGTTTGGTGAGTAACGTGCTTATCGGTATAGACCTGGGCGAAGTAGTCTACAGCTGGTGTGATAACCATGGGCTGTGTAGGTGACATGGTGGCGGGTAGTGGTGGGGAGCCAGTAAGCTTGTGGCGCCAATGAGGTATCTTCCACCTCGACTGCTGGTGACGTGCATTGTCTGGCGTCTCTGGCACATCGTCGAAATAGTCCCGTGTAACTATGAGATCTCCTCGTCCGCAGGCACGCATCATGCCCTCCTCGGAAGAAGCGGGGCCCCAGTTGGAGCTCGGTGTAACAGAGGTGCGTCGTGCCTCAGGGATTTGGAAGGTGTAGGTAAGAACACTGCCAATCGACGGGTCCGAGGGGTGACGTTTCCCGTCATGCGGGCTTTCGACAGGTATCACTTCTTCTATGTCTGCTTCTACTGCGATGCACAGAGCAGACTGAGTATGCCGTAGACGATGTAACGAGGGTATACGTTGGACGGGCTGTGAACTGACTTTTTGACCCTCCGAACGATTGTGCGGTTTGTCTTCAAATTGTGTTCGTTTCCGCTTCTTTTGTTTCGGCGGCGTGCGACTAAAGAACATGGTGTCATGTTTCCGCCGATAGTTCTTCGGTACTGCTGCCTGGCATATCAGTCTGGAAAAGAACCCAAGTTCAGACGATGAGCTAGAGCTCTCTCGTGATAAGGTGCTCCGTGAGTCTTCACGTGTGGTTATCGCTGGCGGCCCATCTGTCCATCCGCTCGCAGTGAAGTGTGGTATATAATCGCTACTTTGCTTGCGTATTTTACGCCTCTGACTGACGTATTGCGCCAGTTTCTCTTCGGTCGAAGGCCCCGTATAAAGTCCAGGCCAAGATTCAGTCTCGGAAGGTGGGCGGGCTTGGTGACCGGCGGCTGGAGAATACCGGTGATGAGAATATGAGCGCAGGGCTGTCACGAATCTTCTCTCTTTACGCTGCTGGAACAATGGCATATGATTTGCGCTCGAAGGGGGTGAGAGGGTGTAGCACGCTGCTAGCAACTGCAAAGCGATGAGTTGGAGAATCGTCTCGCAGGCGACGATGTTACTTGGAGAGACACCTGTCATGATTTTGTCGTCATGAAGTTGTTCGAGTAGTTGGTTTGCAGTTGGAAGTGTCTGTATCCGTCAGTTCGAAGAACAGCCCGCTTGGCTGAGAGCTACTAACGCGACGAGGCTGCCGCGCCCGAGGCGCCCGGAACTCATCACATTCTTGTGACTGCATCCAGTCTCCGATCTCTCTCGTGATTCTTGCTTCTGATTTCGCAGATGGGACGACGTCGTTCGGTGTGTCTTGAGCGTAGTCGTCATTGAGCCGGGTGACGTATCCACCATCTTTACCAAACAGCCAGTATAGGGACGTGTCGGTCATGTCTAGAGGCTGTTCTGGAATGATGCCGACACTCAGTCTGTCTAGTTTCCGCTGCATCGGGATGGGTAAAGGTAGAGTATGCGTAGGGAGCAGGATGATAGATCAGGTATGAGATAATATGATGTGGAGAAGACGTGACCGATGTGATAGTCCATTGGAGTCTGAAGAGGTAGCCATGTGCGGTCTAGAACAAAGGCGCCTCGAGCCTCCTTCTTGGTGGCAGGTACGCTGATGGACGACGTGGCAAGTGCACCTAAGTAGGTCTTAGGCGGTAACGGGACCTCACTCTTGCGGATACTGCAGCATATCGCTTTATTCTACTACGCTTAGAATTCGTCCAGTCATCTTCTGTCGTCGGCATACGCTGTTGAATAGTCCTTCCCACTCGCAAGGGTCCTTCGCGGCTTGTTTGAATGAGGTAGCACGCGTGGTCCTACCTCCTTCGGTTATCCATTGCTTTCGCATACATCTCACGTGCCGCTCATGACCGAGTCGCCATGTGTTTGCGAGGTACCATTTCCTGCATTAGCGATCCCAGTTGTTGCCTTTTCTGCCACTAGACGCGAGCCCTCTGATGTCTTCGAGATTGCCAAGCGCGACTTCTCTCCTCTCTTGGCTTTGGCCTCGTTCAGCCGAGCAAGGAAGCTCGAGGAAGCGGAAGAGGCCTCTTCGTTGCTGGAATGCTGCGCGTCTGGTATGTTGTTTGCGCTTGTTGTAGCACTCTGGTTGCCGTCTGCAGCAGGTGCGACCTCTGCTGCCTGTTGCGTATTACTAGCGTCGTCGAAGAGGTCGTCGTGCGGTCGCAGACGTCCAACCTTTGCTATCAGCTTTGCAGAACCCAGAGCTAATAAGTCGACCGATGGCAGAGATCGCAGCGTGTCTGATTGAGTTGATGAGTTCGCGTTCGGCTTCACGAAGAACATGTCGGTTCCGACGGTTGACGTCCAATGGCAACTCAGCAACTGGCCATTGTACATGACCAGTGGGTTTGGTGTGTGGAGGCCAACGATTTGGACTTCGCCCATGGTTGCTGCCTCTTGTCCATCGTTGCTGTCGGCGGCGAACTCAGCTGGTTGAGCTCGAGCGGCATTCAGTGCGCGCAATCGGCTCTTGAGCAGAGTCGGATGGCCTGGTCTACCCTGCGAGACCATGGGAATTTGCGCGGCAGGGACATTGGACAAGTCGAGCGGAATGTAGAATTCTTCGGTCTCGGTTTCGTCGTACTCGTACTCCCACTCATCCTCCTGAGGCGCGGCCATGATTAGCGGCGTTGTTGTGCGTCGGCGCAGGTGGAAGGATCGCTAGCAGTGGTGGGGCCAGGTGATAGAAGGGTGCAAATTGGCCGCCAACAAGAGGGGTTCGACTTGCACGGAAGCATCAGAGTCCGTGGGAATCATTGATCTATATATGTCATCGTTCGTCATTTCTCCATCGAAAAACCAAGCACGACTTCGTTTGAAGTATTCTCCCCGTAGCTCAGTTGGTTTAGAGCGTCTGACTGTAATATCTGCTGTTATCAGAAGGTCCCTTGTTCGACTCATGGTGGGGAGATCGTTCTTTTTTTGCTTTCTGCCGCAAAGGTAGCGGAGACTACTTCTTTTGCCAGTGTGACTAGGGCGCTGGGTTCGGGAGTTGTCTTTTTGCGCATTGTAGCAGGTTCAGAAGGCAACACTGGTCGGACACAGCGCTCTGCGCCACCCTTCATCTGAAGACTGAACCTTCGATCCACCATAGAGTGGCAGGGACATGCAACAAGCCACAGCTAAGGCTAACCTCCCTGCTCCCCATGTTGTGGGTGTGCGATTGCTGCAGGCGGTGCCTGGAAGCCAAGTTGCGAGCCGCATGGCTGCCGAGGTCCCCGCGGCGTCTGGAACCAGGGATGACGACGTGTGCCCAGCCGGCAGCTGTGCAACATGCATCAAACACCAAACGTACGCGCCACCCCGATGCCAACTACTGTCGCGCTGCCTGTTCCATTGTCGCCCTGAGTTTGCTCACACTGACGATCCGACATCCATCAAGCCGGGTTCTTGCACGCAATCGGCTGGCCACAGCCGTCTACTCGCATCAGTAAGTGTCCTTCCGCCCATGTCCGGCCAGATTAGAGCATTCCAAGTCATCATGACCTTTCCGCTACCTCCGCACCCTCCCCGCTTTTCCCTACACCATTAGCCCATTTCCAGCCTCTTTGGACTGTGCGATGGCCGCTCTACTGTCGATCAAGCCAGTCGCGCCCTGCACTTGCCATGTCCGGCATCACATAGCTCTGTCGACTATCGGATCTTGAGCCACGCCTGCCGTTTTGTCAGCCATCCGGCAGTATCGGCTTCAGATCTTTCCTACCTCGAGCCAAATGTCTCCTACTTTGCCTGTTCGAGCCCTTGAACGGAAGCTAACCAGTCAGTGCCCATCGTTCCATACCTCCAGCATGGCGGAGGGCAGGTCCCACTGCAGGCGGTCCTTCCGTCATCGCTTCCGTCTTCATCCATACCTTCAATACATGTACCTGAGTGCACCCCGATAGCAACATACTCTTCCGATCCTCCGACCGAAGCCCCAGACGCTGCGCAGGACGCTCCTCATTCCCACTTCCTACCTACCATCGATATTCCTACGCAGCATTCTTCCCAAACGAAACCATCTGAAGACGCTTCCACATCTCTCGTTGGTACCGACGACTCGTTGACCGAGGACGACACTCAGATGAAGGGCAGGAAACCCGCCATCGCTGCTGCGGGTACCTTCTTTGGCTTGTTCTCATTCTCGCAGCTATACCAAAACGTTCTTTTCGAAAGCCTGACCCCCTCGAGTGAACGCGCAGACGAAGCGGCCTGGGTCGCGTCGTCACAGTCATGGGTAGATCGGAAAGCTTGCAATTGGTTCGGCATGTGTGGCCTGGCGCATCTGGACAAGGCACAATGGACTACACAGACTGTGAAAGCTGAGAGCCAGAGAACAACAGAAGACGGAAAGGAAGCCAAGGTCAACTTGACCGACTTCTGGAATGATGCGCGAAATATTCCAGCTGATTACAAACCGTCAGAGCAACTCGAGATACCGCAATACGTGATAGACCACGCGCCGCTCATCCACCTCTTCTCGGGAGAAGAGTACTGGCCAGGCGACATGGCAGAACACTTGATACACACAACACCACATCTGAACTATACGCCTCTGCAAGCATCTAGCGACCACCCGAACATTAGTGATCTTGGTGACCTTAACAAGTGGGGACGGTTTGTGTACCTGCAGAGCGATGACAACGTCGAGGACCGCCCGTCCTGGCTGGGTGCGGATTACAACATACCCAACGCGCCGCATGATGGAAATGACGACGACGAAGATGACGACGAAGACTATCACAAAGGACCTGGGCATCTCACGGAGGACAAGAATGGCGAAAAGTCAAGCTGGTGGCATGTCGGTGCTGGCGATACTAGGGATCGAGGTGGCATCCGGCCAGATCCCACAGCTCCCGGTCTGCCAGTCCCTTCGGAGTTGCCCGAAGGCGAAGAGCTCGTTGATGACGATGATAAGCACTGGCGATCAGAGCTGCGTTATGCTCGACGCAGCTTCACTGGCAAGAAAGTCGTCGGTGGTCGAAGTGATGCACCCGTGCCGTTGGTTGTTGTAGACAAGGGCGATGGTGTGGTGGACGCTTTCTGGTTTTTCTTCTACAGCTACAATCTTGGTAACGCTGTCTTCAACATTCGTTTTGGCAACCACGTTGGCGACTGGGAACATACCGTGGTCAGGTTCCAGCATGGCGAGCCCAAAGCGGTGTTCTTTAGTGAACACAGCTTTGGAGAAGCGTATACATGGGACGCTGTAGAGAAGAGTGGACAGAGGGTGAGTTCGACGACTGAGCATTATGATCGCCACTAACATGTCTAGCCCATCGGTTTCTCTGCAACCGGTACCCACGCCATGTACGCTACGGAAGGTGTACATCCGTACGTCTTGCCTGGTGGCATTCTCCACGACGTCACAGATCGGGGCCCTCTCTGGGACCCTGTCATGAACATGTATTCATACAAGTACGACTACCGGTCCGACCGCCTTGTCGCATCGAACCTCAACCCGCGCGCACCTACCTCATGGTTCTACTTTGGCGGCCACTGGGGCGATAAGTTCTACCCACTCAGCGACCCCCGACAATACCGCTTCTTGGGTCAGTACCATTACGTCAATG